AGCATGAGGGAGCCCTGTTAGTTTTGAGGTACCCTTCTGCTGGTTGTCCCAAAAGAGCTCATTTCTTGGTTCATATTTGTTAATAATCATCATAATAATAATCAGTTATGTAGTAATATCAATAATATTTGAATGAAAAGTACATAAATAAAATTCATGAGATTTTTTTTAGAAGATGAGGACTTATAAACAGATCTGATTACCTCCAAAGTCTTTGTTTCTTTTACTACACCATATTTTATCCTACATGATAAACCCATAGAGAACTCTTCTTTGTCCTGGAAAAAGCTTCATGAATGTAGTCTTAGGTCAGTAACTATTTCTCAACACTCTTCTTTAGAACTGTACCATATTAACTTCTAGTTAACAATACATCAAGTTGTTTAAATGCTGTTTCATCAACATGAAACATTAGTGTAACTAAAGACCAAAGACAAATGTGAGCAGATATAGACTCCACCTTGGTTCTGTGGCAGTGTGAGACTGGCCTAGCTCATTAGCTGTGGTGAACTAGAGCATGCTTAACCTACATAACAATTCAGTGGAACCTTTATAGAAATAAATAAGTACAGGGGCCAGTGGCTCACACCTGTAATGCTAGCTACTCAGGAGGCTAAGATCTGAGGATCATGGTTCAAAGCCAGTCTACGAGACTCTTATCTCCAATTAACCACCAGAAAAACAGAAGTAGAGCTATTAGAGCACTAGCCTTGGGCACAAGTTCAGGGACAGTGCCCAGGCCCAGACCTAAGTTCAGCACAAGAAAAAAAAAAAAAAGGAAAAGAAAAAATGATAACAAAAATATATAACCTGTTACTTCTTTCAAAAACTCACAGCCAGGCGCTGGTAGCTCATGCCTGTAATCCTAGCTACTAAGGAGGCTGAGATCTGAGGATCACAGTTCAAAGCCAGCCCAGACAAGAAAGTCCATGAGACTCTTATCTCCAATTAACCACCAGAAAACCTGAAATGGCACCGTGCCTTGAGCTGAAGAGCTGAGGGACAGTGCCCAGGCCCATAGTTCAAGCCCCACGACTGACAAAAAACTCACAATCCCCTGGACTTGGTGGAAGTGATACAATGGAGGCATAAGTAAATATTGAGACAATCTATAGTATTTTATAACACAAATATATGATTTTAATCATGTGCTATTATCAGAGAGAAAATTCAGTCAAGGCAATGACTCCAAAACAAGTTAATAAAATTTGGATCTACCAAATGATAATTTAGGAAAACACCCATTGTTTGACAGATAGATAGATAGATAGATAGATAGATAGATAGATAGATAGATAGATAGATATCAATATTATTAGCATTCACATAAAAGATTTGTAATTAAAACATGGCATAGTTCCAGATTAGATAATAATGAGCAAGATGTTGGTTACCGAGCATTACAAGTAGCAACAAGATCTGATTAATACAGTGAGAGGCGAATGCCAAGAGCAGAGGGATAGGCTACCTGCTTGCTGAATAGAGAAATAGTTAAGTTGGGTGGGGTGGTATGTTCCAGCTTCTCTGGAGGTTGAGAGAGGATTACTTGAGTCTTAAGAGTTCACTTTGGAGACAGCTCCAAAACAAATAAAAAATGAAGTACAGTTATTCAAGAGGATAATTTAGTCTTTTTTTTTTTCAGTAGCACAAGTTTACAAGCATTTTCCACTGTAAAGAAAATTTAGGGGTTATAATAGAACTTAATATTTCAGATTGCCCTTATTTCAACAGACACATAAGACAAGGTTATCATTAGGAAAGACAGTAGTTACTTGCACCTACTACAACAACAAGCAGCAAGAACAAGAATAAAAAATTGGAACTGCCAGGAAAAATAACTATTAAATACATTCCTTTTCAAATTTGGGAGGTGGAGATCAGGAGGTTTTCAGTCTAAACTACAGCCTACTTTGGGCAGAAGCACATGACCTTATCTCAAAACCAACAGCAAGCACTGAGGCATAGCTCAAGAGGCAGAAGGCTTAGCACTTAAATTGAATCCCTGGTATCACCAGAAAAGCAGGAAAGGAAAGTTAAGAGGGAGGGAAAATGATTTTTGTTATCATTTAGCAGGCAGGAAAAGGAAAGAGGGAAGGAATACCAGAATATATAATTACATAGTAATAAATTTATAAAGTGAAAGCAAATACACCTTTTCACATTCATAAAAAGTATACATGCAAAAGGCATTACAATACAGTTCAACTAGAATAGCAAGAGGAAATGCTTGCTCCTATAAAGTAGTAAGAGAATCCAGTAGAAAAAGAATAATTCTACAGAGAAAGAGAAAGATAGTTTACATTATCTGATTTTGTATTTGGAATAAATTCCTAGAAGTTAATTTAATAGACAAAATGATGCACACATTTAAAATTTGTCCTGTGGTTATAAAATTACTCTCCAAAATTACCCACTGTTAGAGAATAGACATTGCAAAATTTTTTAGACTTTGTCTTACAGGTAAAATTGTCCATCTTAGTCTTATGGTATCTGCTGTATTGGTTCTGTGAGCTTTGTATGCATTAATGATATTTTTTTTTTTGGTCCGGTCGTGGGGCCTGAACTCTGGGCCTGGGCACTGTCCCTCAGCTCTTCAGCTCAAAGATAGCACTCTACCCACTTGAGCCACAGCACCACTTCCAGCTTTTTTTTCTTTTTGCTTATGTGGTGCTGAGGAATCGAACCCAGAGTCATGCATGCAAGGCAGGCACTCTACCACTGAGCCACCTTCCCAGCCCCTAATGATATCTTTTATTATCAGTCATACAGTTGCAATTTTGCATTTTTATTTGACCTTTTATTCATAGTGTCCATTGACAGAAATTTAATGTGATTATATTGTTTTAAATGGTCTAATTATTGTTGTTGTTGATTATGTATAATGTGATAGTTAATGTTCTTACAGTCCCATAGTAGGCACTGCTCTACTTAGAATCTTTATCCTAGATAAGTATGGAAAATAGATTACATATCTATAATTTGTATATGTTTATGTGTGCCTGTGCACACACACACACACACGTTCCACTACTGGCAATTTTTCTCAGTCCTCTTTATACAAGTTGAAATATGCCAGTCCTGTTATTTTGTTGCACTTATTCTAAGTTTACTTGCCAAATTTTTATGCATCATGTTCATGTTTTTACATCAACTTTAATTTTCTCTGTTCATTTTTAATTCATCTTTGTTCATTGTTACTTATACTACCTTTTTCCCTATAAAATAATTATTTTCTTGCAATAAATTTCTCTTCAAAATGAAATTTCATGTCTTCTCATAAAACTTCATGTCTTCTCAAGTTTCATTTAGTTGATAAAATTGCTTTTGATGATATCTAAATGTGTGAGACCCTAACTAGACACTTAGAACCTGATGGGTTAGATAACTCCCCCGTGCTGTGTATTGAACTACCAACAACAGATTTCTATCATCCTTTTGCAGGTACTGGCCATTGTATTTCAAAGACAAAATAGTGTAGAGTTTCTGTGTAACAGGTCTACTATGCATAATCTCACAGCTTAAATTCACTGATCATGTAAAAAGGGAAGAATGTCATAAGTGTTTGATCTTTACCACATAGATCTCACGTCACAATCAATTGCTTTCAATATTTTCTTTGAAATCACATAAAGGTTCATATGTGCCAAATTTCATGAGGATCACATGATAAGGTCAAGAAATACAAATTCCAGCCAGAATTTATATGCCCAGTTCACATATGACAGTAATAGTATACAACCATATGTTGAATATTATACACTGTATGTAAATGCTATCCTTGAAAGCAGTCCAGTCAATAAAACCTAAAATAAATAACACATTAAAAATAGACTGAAAAAGAAATAGATGGACTTCATGGCAAGAACATCCCTATAAAATTGACATTTGAAAACCATTAAAACACAGAGAGTAAAACAATCATGAAACTCAAGAAAAACTGTTTTTAGAAGTTTTTTTTGAAGCCTACTACATTATATGCCAATATGTAGCAATTATTTTAAGGAGCTATTTTAGTAAATACTATTATTTCTAAGCATTAAAAGCAAATTATTCTCACCATTAGACAAAATATTAAAAATACTTATTAACCAAAAGTGTGTGTGTAACAGAAAAAAGTAAAAACTAAAAACTGAATTTTGTTATAATTGAAGGTACTAAAAGGTTAACCAACTTTTATCATTAAAATATGTTACAGAAAGCTACTGAAGTTAACTTCCAAAGCTTAGTAGTAAGAAGTAGATGCCATATTAGTAAAACTCTGAAATAGATTAAATAACCCTTAAGTGGTACTAATATGCATCTTTAAACACGTACCTTTTCCTCAGCTGACAAATCTTCCCCTATGTTTCCCTTAATTTGTTTCCAGTATCACATTATTTTTTAATATTCACCTATTAGGCCTATGCAGTTAGGAGGTAGAGATGGGGAGATCACAGTTTGAGGCCAGCCTGTACAAAACATTCTCAGTATTATATCTCATCCAATGGCTGGACACAATGGTGTACACCTAAGGAATCGCAAGTAGGAAAACTACAACCACGGGCAACCCAAGCATAAAGCAAGACCATACACTGAAATAACCAAGGCAAAAAGGAACTAGAATTATGACTCAAGTGGTAGAATACCTGCCTAACAAGCATGAAGCCAAGAGTTCAATCCTCACCACTCTTGCCGCCTCCCCCACCCCCAGTTCAGCCATTAATCTGTAAGTAGCTCAGAGTACACATTTTTTTCCTTTATTCATATTATGTGGGTTTAGACTTGTAATGTCTTTTCCTCTTTGGCTTACTCTGGAAAACAGACTTTCATCATCCCTCATTCAGATATGGCTTATCTTTTTTTAGTACAAGACTTGTGTACTTGTATGTACAAATAAATGAAACTATAATGGTTCCATATAATTAACCAGTTTTTCTCTTGTTGACCAACTCAGGCTCAAACACCAAAATTAGTTGTTGGTAATGTAAGCTCTGTTTTTAATTTTCATTTTGTTGCTTCAGATCCTGGGAAGACTCTGCCTGAAGCCCTTGATTACAGTACTGTGTGGTTGCAGACAGTGCCTGGAGAAATAGACAGCAAAAGTGGTATTCCACCTTCCCTTGTAACTCTACAAATTAAAGACTTCCTTAATGGTCCAGGTAAGAAAGCCATCATTCAAAAGTATGTATTTTTCTGTGGGACTGTATGAACATGTATATGGTGTCTGTTAGTGGTTTTTGACATTATTGCCAAAAATGAATAATTCATTTGGTTTCTCAAAGTATATTCTTTTCAGAGTGTCCAGGATAGAAATCAAAACACAAATGGATATGCATGAAAAATTACCTCTAATCTGACAAAATTGGTTATCAATTGAAGAAAAGGTGATTGGAAACTAATTTTTTCTATCTTTTCTATTAATCAACTTAGTGATTTATTTATTTGTATGTGCAAGAGATGTGAGTGTGAGAGCCCTAGGTCTTGAACTCTCCCTGGGCAGTCTATCTCACCTTTTTTGTTCAAGGATGGCACTCTACCACTTGAACCCCGGTTCCACTTCTGGCTTTTTTTCTGATTAATTGGAGATAAGAATGTCATGGACTTTCCTGCCCTGGCTGTATTAGAACCTCCATCCTTAAATTCAGCCTCCTGAATAGCTAGAATTACAGGTGTGAGCCACTGGAGCCTGCCTAAGTTTACTTTTCATTTTGGGGGTTGTTGGGAGGTTTTGGGGGTTGTTGTTGTTGTTGTTGTTGTTGTTTTAATCCTTTGGCATTCTTTCAGTGTGCCTAGGCTATTGTCTTTTAGTTTATACTTCATTGATTACTTAAGGATGAGATTTACAAGCCAATGAAGATTAAGCACTGTATTTTCAAGCCAACCAAGGAAACGGAAATTTAAGACAATATCAGTATTTGAATGAGAAGCATTTAATTATAGCAATCAATATGACTAGTAGAAATATGATTTTTAAGTAATTGCTTTTATGTGTTTCTTAGGATACTTTTCAGAATTAGGAATTACATATATACCATTTCTGATTTCCTATCATTCAGTAGTAGTGATAGTATACTTGGAAAGTCAAACTTTTAAGAAATTTTTTTCTTGTCTCTATATTGTATTAAAAAGAGGTGTCAGTTCAAAATGTCTATTTTGAATACAATTCGTCTTGCTTTGTTTCAAACCTTCCATCACTCTCCCTTCCCATTTATCCAATTCTTTACATCACCCTCAAGTGCAGGGGTGAATTCCCATGGTGTAACTACTTTGAACGATTAAAATAGTTACATAATAATAATATCAAGAAGCTTAACTTTATCTTGTTTGGGGAGGCTAGATTTCAGGAGATTGGGGATGAATTGTAAAATTCAAACATTTAAATAATTGAGTTGAAGTCATTATTTATCAGTGCTTCTCTCATTGAGTCTGCATTTGAAGGATTTTAGTGAAGTATGTTAAAATGCAAATGATGATTTTAATAACTCTAGAACATAGAGTTATTAAAAGTATATTTCTAACAAGCTCACAGGTGAAGTGTATTCTATTAGTCTATTTGTAACAAGGTTTTACATGACTTTTACTAAATTTTTTTGTAAAAGATTATGAACAAATATACACATATATATTACTTCTATTATATATAATTTTTCTAAGAATATCAGTCACAATCTTTGATGGCCAAACTGCAGATATTCAAGGGAACAGGAGACGAAGAGAATAACACAAAGATGAGTGGTTTTTAGAGTGGTGCTTTTTTTTCTGGAAAATCAAACATGTTGTATAATGAGTGAATGAAGTTCTTCAAAACAATTCAACCAACATTACTTTTATGTTCTTTGAATTTGAGGATGTATTAATTTTAAGTGATATATTAGCTCTGTGGAAACTTTTTCTGAAACACCAATCCAACAGCTTTGAATCAGTTCAAAAATTGCTTTTAGACAAAAGGAAACTTTTGTCTACTGTAAACAATTTGTCTGGCACAGTACAGAGTAGATACTATTCCACAGAATAATTACGTCTTCTTACCACATCACCATGTTGTCATCTCATATTAATTTAGAAATTAAAAAGCTATAACAAATAACAAGGTTGGTTAAATGAGAATAACAAGACACACTGAAATATTTTTTGACATATGAATTTATTATTTTGTATTTTTGGCAACTCAGAATTGTTTTTCCAGGTTCTAGGTAATAGGATGCTAGGAGACAATTTATTCTGAGGCTAGAGTAACAGAGCTCAGTTCCTGCTATAAATGAAACTTCTGGTTTTTATGCTACGTTTTCATCAAGTGGTAGTAGTAAGGTCTTTTCTGCTATTAGTTTTTTAATCTGTATGCACATCTATTTATCATCCCCAAAGACTGTCTTATTGCTAGCTCTCCTAAAGTTCTGTATTTCCATCTGTTCTTTTCATGCTCGTGAATTTAGATTAAAGTAACAATAAAACTTACGACCCGAAAAGAAGAGAAAATAGTGGTTATCCCTGTCTAATCTTAAACTTTCTATAAAAAGATGTGTGTGTAAAAGGTCTTGAATTTAGCCTTTCAGATTAATATTTTAGAGGATGTTTTCTTTTAAAAACAAACAAACTTCTCTTTAGCAGCAATGCTGCATGTTAGCATTTGACTAGGAAAAAAATTCAATTCAAAAACAATTCTTGAATATTCTTTATTTCCTCTGTTCATTTAGTAGTACCTTAAGCAAATTTAAGTTCTGACTTCTACACAAAAACCACCGTCAAAGCTCTCCCATCCCCCACCTCCGGCCTTGGGAGGCAACAATTCTACCCATTAGCAAGGTCAGTGGCTTGGAAAAACCTGGAAAACAGCAGCTACTAGAAACCCACTAGAATAATATCTCCAGCAGGTGATAGATTAGTTGGAACAAATTGGAACCATTGCAGTTCAGCAATCCTGGTTTCTTTCAAGCTGTTTTTAAAATGTCGTCATTTTAATACACAATTTAAGCCCTGCGGAACAGTCCGCAGCAGGTTAATTTGAATCATATGATGTGTCACTGCCCTCAGCTGACATGAGCTCTATTCCATGTGTGAAGCCATAATAAATCCATTCCCAACCGAGGAAAATTCCCCGTGAGAAGGTGAACTAATCCAGGCCTCACACTGGCATGCTAGACCCTCCATAATTGAAAGCAGGGCCACCTGTTCCCAGCACAGTTAGCCTACAGAGAAAAAAATTAGATCAGATACCTCTTCTATTGAAAAATCATTCATACTTCTTGTAAATTCAGGTTCAGCTGTGAAATGTTTGGTATGACATCATATAGAAATGTAGGAATACGCTCACTTGATCCCAGTTTAAAGTTTTGTTAACTATAGGCTTTCTTTGAAATGATTTTTTTTTTTTTTAATGAGAGCTGACACATAAGAACTGGTAAGGGTACAGATTTTTCTAATTAACTGGGGGTCATTTGCAAAAACATTTTTATTCCCTGATCTTTTGTTTTCTCATTGTCCTTATGGACAAAAAAGTTGAACTATTTCATCCTCGCCATGAGATGACATTTAAATGACCGCAATGAAAAAAAGTATTAAGTTAGGATAAGATTCCCAAGTCATTTCTGTTTTATTATAAATTATTGATTTCGATACTTCATTGATTATATAATTTAAATAACATGCTTATCCCAACAGTTACAAATGCAGTTCTACATTTATTTTAAAGTACATAGTGTCTGTAGTTGAAATACATATCCACTGATGTTCTTTTCTCATAAATTTAAAATGACTTTAGTCCCATCTTGTTTAAATTATTCACCATATAGTTTTTTTATTGTCCTAAATTTATTTTAACTTTGGACTGGTTTCATTTCTGGTTTTATTTCATTTTAGTTTTAATAATCAATTTAAATTTAATTGGTTATATTTCCATTTTGAGCATTTTTAATATTTAATATTAACTTACTGTTTTGTGTATTACAATGATTTTAACTCCAATCCAAAATTATTGGCGTTCTACAAGCCTCTTTGATTTGAATGAAAATATGCTATACAATACTAAAAGATTTCTTAGTTACAATAATGCCATTTAGTTGTATATATGGATATAAGATATGAATTTTAAGTTGTTTATATCATATGTATAATTTTAAATGTTTACCTTGATAAAGTCTTATTATTATTAAATTTTAACTTAGTTGGAAGTAATTTAGATGTATTTTAAAGGTGATTAATTCAAGGGAATTAAAATAACTGAGAAAATTAACCCAAGTAGACTTCTAACATTTTCCAGAGAAGGAAAATAAAGAGGATTTTTTGTTGTTGTTGTTTTGTATTTTTAATGGTGGTCCTGGGGTTTGAAGTCAGGCCCTCATACTTGCTAACCATGCATTCATTGCTAAGCCACACCTTCGGTCCTGGTTTTTGCTTATTATTTTGAGTCTTGCTTCCTGCCCAGGTGTGTGCCTGTGCAAATCCACCTGTTAGGTTTTCTGTTTTCAGCTCTCACTGAGAACAGGAAGTCTCTTGAACTTTGTTCTGCCCAGGCTAGTCTTAGAACAAAGATTTCAACAATCTCAGCCTCCTAAGAAGCTAGGATTATATAATCCTAGGATTGGATATATAAACCATAGGATTGTTGTAGTCATCAATGTCTAGTTAATATTTTTATTTTTTATTTTTATTTTATTTTATTTTTGCCAGTCTGAGCTTGAACACAGGGCCTGGACATTGTCCCTGAGCTGCTTTTGCTCAAGGCTAGTGCTCTATCTCTTGAGCCATAGCACCACTTATGGCTTTTTTTGTTTATGTGGTACTGAGGAATCAAACCCAGGGCTTCATATGCTAGGCAAGCACTCTACTGCTAAGCCACATTCCCAGCCCAAAATTCCTTCCCCCTTTTTCCCCACCCTCCCACCAGTCATGGAGCTTGAACTCAGGGCCTCGTGCTGGACCTGAGCTTTTTTGCTCAAGGATAACATGCTATCATTTTAGCCACAGCACCAACTCCTTAAAGGCAAGAAGATTCAAAATGAAAGAAAAGATCTTAAGCTAAATTAAAATTATTTCTTTTTTTTTTTTTTTTGGGTCCGGTCGTGGGGCCTGTACTCTGGGCCTGGACACTGTCCTTCAGCTCTTCAGCTCAAGGCTAGCGCTCTACCACTTGAGCCACAGCGCCACTTCCGGCTTTTCTTTT